TTATTACGTAACAGCCTAGGAGCCAGTGCACTTGGCCAGGAAGTGGGAGACCTGTGTTAAAGGCTCTCATCATCCTGAACAGTTCAAAACCACATCTCTACCTCCCAGGAGAATACTTTAAGCATCAGGTAAGACCTGCTCAAGCTTTTTGTATTACAGCTTCTGTAGCAGGGAGCCAGAAGCTACTGTTACTTCAGGGGGATAATGCAGCAGGCCAACCTTGTAGTATGGCAGACAACTGAGCAAAAGCCAAGTATACTGCAATCAACATTTAAGGAGAGGATCCCCAGGAAGCCCCAAGGTAAAGGCTGCAGGCAGCTGGAACAGGCTAGCCATTAGGCAAATGAAGAAAGCCCTATGTGTGGCTGGAGAGTCACACAATCAGAAGGGGTGGTGCTTTGGGGCATATAAAACCAATGTCTGAACCAACACAAGTAGCCTGGCCCTGAAAGCTGCAGGGAGAGGACTTCTGGGGACAAGAGGACACAGGCACCCAAGCCTCCCAGGACAGTTAAGGGAGAAATATGGCTTGGGTGTGGCTTGGACAGAGAACAAAGGCAAACCTTAGTTGGAAGCAGTTTGCTAGTATTTACATAGTGCTTAGGTTTGACCAGAGGACTGGGCTGTGGCTATAGGGATGTATGGAGGCCCCAGGGGTGCCTGATAGACACCCAGCATGGAACCCTATAAGGGTCAGGAAACCAAGGGCTGTAGCAGAGAGAAGCCAGACTCCCCTGGGTCAGGAAGCCCAGTGGGCTGGGTTTGGGCTGAGAGCAGCTTCACCTGGGTTGGTAACCCCAGCAGGCTGAGATAAGCTCATGAGACAGGGCCACGGGCCCAGAGAACAAAACAGAGCTGAGACCCAGGAGCCAAGGTCCAAGGCAGTGGACCGGGGGTGGGGAAGAGGGCACAGCCCGAATAAAAGGGTTAATGCCAGAAGGCCAAAACCCAGACAAAAACTTGAGGCCTGTGGGGTCAAGTGCTGCCTTGGAGATCGGGGGCTCCCTACGAACTGGACAGCGAGTTGCATCCTGCAAGGAATAGGTATGGTATGGCTATGGGGATGACAGGAGGCCATTATTTTAGCCATTAAGGCAGTTAGGGCCAGAGGGAGTCAAATCCCACAGGGAGAGCCGTGTCCACAGGAGTTGAAGCCCCACAGTGACCGAGGCTGGCAGGGGTCAGGACCGCAGGCCAAAAGGAGCCTCAACTTTTTCTCTAGTCTGGCAAATTGGGAGGCAAAATGTGCACCTGAACCCCTCAAACCGAGGCAGCCAAAAAACCCAGATGTCCCACTTCCTAAGTGCTCTTGCCCTAGGTGATTTTATGAATAATGGACACCACTAGTCTGCACCCCTTTCAGTAGCCATGTTTTAAAAGAGTCAGTCATCCATACCCAAGGTAACAGCTGAGACACTAAAGCACAGGATTAGATTTGAAGCTGCAAATCCCAATCTTATATATGTGCCTGCAAAAGCCACAGTCCTGAGGAGAAACAAGACTGCAGACATTCATCTGTCTTAAACATCAATTAACAGCCAGCTCAGGAATCCCCTTGCTGAGCATGCTGGCTCACTCTTGCACACCCAACCCTTCTAATTTATTGTACCAGAACTTAGGTGCCAAATTCAAATTTGTGAAATCCAGTCTGCAAGCCAGATGCCTAGCAAGTAGGAGAGGCAGCATTCAGCTTTCCCACACTTTTGTAGGCCTGGGCTAGAGAGACTGACTGATGGACTTAACAAGTAAATCAACATGGGAAGTGCATGACAGAGCAGGGAGACCTTTCCCAAGTCTCTCCTTAAGCATCAAACCAGTCTCTTTAGGCCATGTCAAGGGGCCAGAGAAGGGGGGAAAAAATGAACTAAAATAGTTGACTTAAGCCACCTTCTGGGAAAGTATTCTAAGCTGTTTAAATAAAAGGTTGGTCTACCAATTTTTACCTGGCTGCACTTCAGATCCGAATTGGGGCTGAATGTGTTGAATTGTTAGGTGGCTCTTTCACTGAATGCACAGACACAGGGAAGACACCAGCTTTCCTCTCTCAGCAAATTTATCATTCCCATATTCATCACCTTATAAAACTAAGCTACCTTAGCAGAGGACCCAGAATGAAATTCTCCCTTTACGCTGCCTCTAACATGCAAGCACTGCTTCAGAACACACCTATTAACCAACTCATCTTTGCTGTTGCACAAAATGAAGACCAAGGCAATGGGTGAACAGATTCCAAGGTGACTTTTGCCTTGGAATACCTACAGGACAGTCCACACAACCCCCTATAGCATATGCTTCAGTGTAAAGGAGTGAATTCACATGTGCTATTTCCTACTATCAGGTACATTGCTTGTGGCAAGATGCATGCTGAGTCAGGCATTACTCTTCCAACTGCAAGGAGGATATTTGAACAAAAGGCAAAAGGAACCAAGATTCAAGAATCTTAAAGATATTCCCTCTGGCAGAAAATTCCACTGATGTCAGTGAAACCTGCATGGACAGGTAATGCAAGATTGGGCTACCAAGACCTTAAGCATGAAACAGTTATTGAGGCAAGTCCACCCTTAGACTCAGCACTTAGCTTCATTCCCATAAATATGCTAGTCTCCATGCCTAGACACTGAAAGCACAGCTCTAATTACATATCCACTCTAAAGCTACAATGCTAATCAACACACATTTAGCCTCTGCAATGACGAGGGCCACTGAAAAACACTGAAATGCAAGAAAACATTAGTGCAAAGGCAAAATGGCATCCATCATTAAGGGAGTCAAGTAAGCACCTTGTGCACAAAGACCCTTTGGGTTTATTTTAACCTTAATGACTGTGTGGCACCCATTAAGATAACTTGTGCACTAAGTGAAGACATTATGGAGCAATATTATGCAATACAACCATAAGGAAGTCTGAAACTGGGAAAACGCAACCAACTCAGAAGTCAGTCAATAAGGTCGATAATGAGAAACCTGGGGATTCCAAGCATGGAAATACAGAGTGCTCAGTCCCAGGAATAAGGGAGGGCATTACTAAAACATATAGAGAATACAGAGAACAAGGGCCCTTTCAGTTTTACTCTATGGAATCTGCTGTACGCTAGATACAATATCCTTTTATAAACATAGGAAAAGGGTCATTTTAAGCTTGAGGTATTTTTTAACTGTACCAAAACTAAATGGAAGATCTCTTAGGCATGTCTAAAGTATAGTATCAATCATTAAGAAAGGATTTTGCTTGGAAAATTAAAAAAAGAAATATTAATTTAGACTTTTTGATCTATTTAGATACACAAATTTTACAACAGATCTTATGTCTGTGAAGTTTAATTAACAGGATACAAAATGATCAGAAGAAAATCCAAAATGCCAAACCTTTCATTAGCTCAAGTTACTCTTTGTCGTTTCCCCTTCATCTTTACAGAAAGAACCCAAGGCAACAGTTCCTCTTAACAACCAGTGTTGTAAGAGACAAAATACCTTTCTAAAAAAATAACAAAATTAAAAGTTTTCTTCACTACAAATATCATAGTAGATTCCCCAACTTTAGAAAGTCTGTCTGCACGTGAAGTGGTTTAAAAATCTCTCTTAATTTACTGCTAATTTTACATAATTCTTATGGGAAGTCTAATAACTTATGATGGGTTAAGTTTGCTGTTTAGCTGAAAACTTGTCCAGCATATTATTTACTCTTAGTTCACTCATGGGATCAAATCATTAAAGCCTGTAAAAACACCAGAAGGTACACTGCACGTGCTCTTTTATACATGTAAAGCAATTAACACACATAACAGAATAACCTTCGCTAACATCCCGCTAGTGGAGGTAGATAGATGCAGATATCCCCCGAAGCATGACAGGCGGAGTAAAAGTTTATATAAGGGTTTAGTACTCCCTCAATCCATACAGGTTATGGAATCTCCATCCTTAAAGGTTTTTAAGACCCAGGTAGACAAAGCCTTGGTTGGGAAGATCTAGTTGGGGGTGGCCCTGCTTTGAGCAAGCGGCTGATCTAAATGCCCTCCTGAGATCCATCATTTCCTATTATTCTACAAGTCAATATTCTGCCCAGCTATTGATCTGAACCATATTACAGAAACCAGTGAGCTCCCATTTTGATTCCCACCAAGCTCTTAGGAGAGCCCATGTTGGGATTGATGCTCTCAGGAGACAGAGAGCTCCCAAGAAGCAGCAAGCAAACAGAGTGTAGCCTAGGTACAAAACACAGCTACAGCATCCACCCAAAGCAAGAGTCTCAGTCATTTTCAGTGGTCAGGCTAGTCAGTGACATATCACCGGGACTGCAGGGGGGGGAACCCATGGGGAAGAGGAGAAACTTCAAACTAAGATCAAGGGAACCGGGTTTGGTTGCTGGGCAGGCCTTTTGACCTGCCATACTGTGACACGGGCCAAAGCCCACCAAGCAGAGCGACAATCCTCCGTGGCAATGGGGGCCACTACGGGCCAGCACATCCCAGATGGTTTTGGACAACAACAACAAAAAAAGCTGACCAGGGATGAGAGCGAGGGTCATAGGTTCAAAACCAGTGCACCGAGGGGGGGACACCAAGCAAAGCACGCGGGACAGTGTCCTCTGCCCTTGGGGCGAGTCCAAGAAACCAGCGGGCAGTGCCCTGCGAAGCCGCCCGGAGACGTGCCCAGAGCGGGCTGCCGAGCAGGTGGCGGAGACACTGCTGCCATCTGCCAGCGGGGACAGCGCCGCCCTGCCCGGCTCCCCTCCTCGGAGCAGCAGCACTGGGGCTCCGGGGCCGGGTCTGCTCGGCCGTGCTCCCAGCCTAAAATAACCCGAGGCGCTGGCCCGCCTCCAGACCAAGGGTCACGAAAAGAACAGCAGCGACAGCGAACGCAAAGTGCAAGTTGGACGCGCCCCACCCGGGCAGGCTCCCGGCTCCCGGCTCCGGCCCAGCACTCGCCCTCCCTGCTCGGGCGGGAGCTCTGTCCCGCGCTGCCCGCATCCCTCCGCTGCCCGGGGCGGGGGCCCCTCGTACCTGCACAGCTCGGCGAAGGCCTGGAAATTCAGCTTCTTCATCTTCTTCTCGCTCAGCCAGTAGCCCACCCGCCTGCCTTTCAGGAAGGTCTGCATCGTCCCGGCACCGAGGCAGGGTGGCCCTGGCCGCGCAGCCCTACGGGAGCAGCATGCGGGGCTGTAAGCACG